GGAGCCTGTTTTCCCCTCTCACTCTCTGCCTGCCTCTTGGCCTACTTGTGATCTCTGTCTGTCAAATAAATAAATAAAATCATATATATATATATATATATATATATATATATATATATATATATATATAAAAAATAATGCCAGATGGTGCTAAGTGCCAAGGAGAAAACTAAAGAGACAGTAGGTGGTCAGTTGGAGCTGAGGTTGACATTTTAAGTAAGAGGGTCTAGAGGCCACCTGAAAAGGTGACATTTGAGTAAAGACGGGAAGAAGGTGAGGGAGGTTAAATTCTTGCCGCCCCCATCAGACCTAGATGAGGACCACAGCCTTCTCTTGAGAACCAAGTCCTTCCTGTCCACCCCTGGAATCTCAGCTCCACACCGGCGCCTGGTACGGGGTAGGCGCCCTCCGAACAGAAGTGGGGTGAAGGAAGGCGTCAGGCCCTAATGAGGCCAGCGGCCGCGTGCACTCACGTCCTGCAGCAGCTTCTCCAGGTTCTCCTGCAATTCGTAGAAGTAGACGGTGGTGATGAGGCCGTCGCGGGACTTGGTCAGGCAGTCCCGGGCCAGCTCGATGATCTGGTGGTGGATGAAGCTGAGCACGCCGTCGGCCAGCGGCAGCACGCTGTCAGGTTCGTAGGCGCGGGCGAAGTCGCGCAGCTTCTCCTCCATCTGCGCTGTGGCCTGCGGGAAGGACACAGGCGGGGCGGGGGTGCCGGCGCCGGGGGTGCGCCTGGAGGCTGTGGCCACCAGGAGCCTGCGCTGCGCGCGCCGGCCACCAGGGGGCGCGCGGAGCTAAGGCGAGCGAGGGTTCCCGCCGCCCGGCCTTCCAGCGGCCGCCCCCCGCCCCGTCTCACCTTCGGGAACCTCTCCTTGTACACATGGTTCATCATCACAATCTCGTTGTCGTAGGAAGAGGGGGAGCGCCCGGGGCTGCGGGGAGAGAAACCCATCCTGTCCAGCCCCCTGCTTCCGAAAACAGCCAGGCATCAGATCCCCTCCACCCCAAACCCCGGTAAAACCTCACCCATCGTGTTGCAACCCATTTAATCACGCGGACAGAGGTCTCGCAGTACACAGTCCCCCAGATCATCGACTTGGGTGGGGGTGGGGGGGTGTTTGCCCACCTGAGGCTCCGCGAGCGAGGCCGCACGGCAGGAGAGCGGCGGCCACCATCTTCGTCAGTGATGCTCTCGGTGCTGCCAAAGTGTTTGGAGAGGAAGTGGAGCTCATCCACGGTGGGCTGGTAGGGCAGCTGGTGCAGGCGCTCCTGGGAGGAGCAGGAAGACTGGGGGGAGGAGCGGGGCCCGGGTCAGAGCCACCGCGGTCCCCCCACATCTCCCGACCCTGGGCTGGGATTCCTGGGGTTGATGGGCCACTGGGCAGGTTCGGGATCAGGACCTGTTTTATGATCCTTGGATCCCAGGGTCCAGGTTGGGACTCCTGGAGACAGATAGGGGGACAGGGACAGACACAGATGAGAACTGTGACACTCACACAGATGTGGCCAGTGGGAGCCTGTTAAAACCTGAGTCAAGTCACATCCCTCCTTTGCTCAGAACCCTGGCTCCCACCTTACTCAAGGTGGACGCTGAAGTCCTTCCCAGGACTCACAACATCTTACAAGATTCAGTCCTGTGTCTCTGCCATCACCTCCTTCCACTCTCCCCATCATTTACTCTGCTCCAGCTGCACAGTCCTCCTTGATGGTCTTTGAACAAGCCACAAACACCCCTGCCTCAGGGCCTTTGCACTAACTCTTCCCTCTGCCTGGAGCATATCTACTACTGATCACTTCTCCTTCACACCTTTGCTTAAATATCACCCCTCTGGGTAGCATTCATCCCTCTGAACACATATCCATCACTCGCTATCCCTGCCCTATCTTGTTTCTTCTTGCTACATTTATCTCCTGACTTACTATATCTTTATTACTAATTTGTATTGCTATCTGCTCCTTGAGGCGAGGATCTTGGTTCTGCTTGGTCCCTAGTCAGGGCCTGGCATACACACAGACCCACAGATATCAGTGGAGAAAACAAGGATATCCACTCAATTCTACAGGCAGAAGGATCTTTTGAAATATTACATTACTGGGGTACCTGGCTGGCTCAATGGGTTAAAGCCTCTGCTTTTGGCTCGGGTCATGATCCCAGAGTCCTGGGATCGAGCCCCGCATCGGGCTCTCTGCTCAGCAGGAAGCCTGCTTCCTCCTCCTCTCTCTCTGCCTGGCTCTCTGCCTACTTGTGATTTCTGTCTGTCAAATAAATAAAATCTTTAAAAAAAAGAAATATTACATTACTCATTCCCCATCCCATCAGTTATCTACTAAAATAATTTCTTCAATGCATATAACCTATAATCTACAGAATCACAATCTCAAACAGCTCAGGCTGAAATTTTAGTATAATTTAATATATAGCAAAAAAGCCTTTGTATGGCTTCCCACCACATTAAGAATAAGATCCACTTCTTGGCCCTCACTGAGAAGCCCCAGTATGACCAAGGGCGCTCGCTGCCTGCCTCACCCTGGTTCCTCCACTTCCAACCCAGAGCACCAGCCACTCAGAGCTATTTTCAGCTTTCCAAAGGCAACAAGTTGTCTGTTGCCTCTGGGAGTTTGCACATGCTGTTCCCTAGTCCCCTTCCTGAAACACACTTCCTTTCCTTCTCCCACCTGCCAAACCCCTGCTGATCTTTTGTCTTGGCTTCAATTCCACCTCTTTCAGGAAGTCTTCCTTGAACCTCCCTCCCGCTAAATCAAGTCCCCTCCCCCCCCACACACACATTGCTATCACCTCACCTGGTATTACTCCCAAAACAGCTCTACCACCCCGTGTTGTGATGACTTCTTACTGATCTGTCTCCACTCGTGAGGGCCTCGACAGTCCTTGGATCCTGGCCCAGCTTCTAGAGCCCACCCACCATATGACAGTGACATACATAAATGTCTGCTGAACATCATACCAATAGATGTTTGAGTGAACCAGAGACACAGGTAGAAAAGGGGCCAGGTGGAGAGAGAGAGACTTAGGGTAGCGTGGTGCAGAGCAAATGTGTTCTGGGTGAAGGCGGTGCCGACCTTGGTCAGCTGAGCCCCTTGGGCAAGCAGCCCAACACATGAGCCTTAATATCTTTATCTGTAAAATAAGTTGGTGATGAGTAGGACCCCCAAGAAGATATGTTGAGGGTGGAGAGCAGGGCTTTCAAGGGGACCTGTAACTTGCCAATAGATGGACGGGTGGCACCTTGAAAAACAAGAGAAGCCCCAAACTCTCCTTAAGGCCAGCCCGACTACTGGCCTGGGTGTGGGCCTCCAGGCTGGAGGGCTCCCCGGCAGCTCCCACCCACTCGCCCACCTGCCAACTCACCGAGACGGTGGAGCTGGGTGTGTTGGTGCCATAGCCAGACGAAGGAAGCGAAGCCAGAGACCAACGGCGTCCGTCCGCCCTGGAACCCAGCCGAGATGCTCAGAGGCTACAAGGCCCCACTGGCCCCCCACTCCTCAGGATGTGATAGAAGCCACTGGCCACCACCGGGGTAGGGAATGGGAGGGGATATATCTGTGCTCTGTCTGAGATTTCAAAAGGGCCTCAGAGCCAAGGGGGTAACAAGGAAGTCTTCCAGGTAGGTACCGGGGAATCTCAACAGTTACGCCCCATGAGAAAGCACTCAGAGTGAGACCACTTGAGTCTTCTCAGAGAAGAAAGGCCCCTCCCTCAAACACACACACACACCCCATCACTCTCATGGCCACAGGTACCAGTGTTATTGCGACAAGTGTGGTCAAGTTCACACACTGAGAGTCACACACATTCACACAGGACTCCTCAACACAAACACTCACATACACTTACTGTCCCATACATGCAAAATCAGATACACACTCACACACAAACACATGTACTTAGAGACCCAGTACTCACACTCTGACACAAAGACACGCACTCCCTCACGCCCATTCTACACTTCCTTGTTCGCACAGACGCATTCAAGAACCCTCACGCACTCAGTCACACATTCAAACTCCCACACAGCCACACATTCATTCACACGCCCACCAGATTGCACACTCACAGGGAGACATTCATGGAAGGGCACGCTCCCTCACATATTCACACACGTTTAACAAGGTACAGATAAACCCTCACACCCATGTCCACACCCATGTCCACACCCATGTTCACTGATGCACACCCCCATGGACACATGTGTAGGCACAAGCTGCCTCACATTTGCACAGTCTCACAAATTCATACTCACACATCCACATCGGCACACGGATTGCACATCACGGGGACACGCACTCCCAAGCGCGAGACTCGTCCCTTATTCCTCCCTCCAGGGAGTGTCCTCCCACCCAGCCCAGGCAACTGCATCAGCCCACCTTAGAGCCATTTTCTGGCTCCCTATTGCCCTCAGCTGAATTCCACAGCCAAGTGGGTCTTCCCCCACCCACCCCAGGGAGCTATCCTCTGTCCCCCACAGTCCTGTGTGAGTCCCACACCACAGCCTTCACCAGCCTTTGCGGTGACCCAGGTTTTCTGGAGTGCCACCCCAACTCAACTCCGAAGATAGAGACGGGGAGTCATTCACCTCTTATGCTCAATTCCCAGATCACAGCACATGTTCAGACAACGTTTTTAGAATGAATAAAGTTCAAAGAAAAAGAGAGCCTCCTGGTGACTCCCAGAAGTTTCTCCAAAACACATTGGATGAATCTTTCTGCTTCCAATTTCGCCAAAAGCCCGAGGAAATTAGCGACACTCCAGAAACCCTCAAAGACCCCAGTTAGGAAAACCCGAGATTCCTCCCCTTCGGCTCTCGAGAAATTGCCCCAGGTGCCCTTCCTCTTGTTGGAGACCGAGAGTCCCTCGGTGGGCATCATGAAGGCTGCGCTTGCGCACCTCATCTCCGCTCCCTGTCCTGTTGCTATGGTAACGCTCGGCCTGGAACTAGAGGCTAGGGAGACTGAGACCCTGGGCTCAGAGCGCAGGCGCTTTCTCTCCATGCAAAGGAAGTCCCACTCCTCCTCTGATTCCGGATGGGCGGTTGGCCCCGCCTTCTCATAGGCCCCGCCCCTATGGCCAGGCGCTTATTCCCGCTGGGACGTGGGGGCACTCTGCGGGTCCCTCGGGCCCTGGCTCAGGTGCAATTAGGCGGGGAACAGATGGTGGCCCAGACGGTGGGTCGGGAGGGTCCGGCCAGGGTTCTAGTGCCCTGGGGAGAGGGACTCACCTTCGGGAGGAGGCAAACGAGAAGTGGGCGGGGGTGTTGGGGGAGAAGTTGCGGGGGCTGTCCAGGGGACTGCTACCTGTGGCGGAAAGAGGGGGATCTTAAGGCTTGGTGTGGGAGACAATCCCACCAGGCCTTCCAATCCTCAAAGAGGGTTGCAAACAATAGCTCCTCCCCTCTTTAGTCTAGTCACACCTTCCATGAGTGGATCACGCCCCCTTAGCTGTGGTCCCGCCTCTCTAAGTTGTTTTGGTTACCAAGTCAGCCCAGCCCCACTCCAGTCCGGTTCCGTCTTCATCTGAGATGGCCTCGGTCCTCAGGTATGGTTCCTCCCTTCAGCCCCATCCCTTTTTAAATCTAGCCCCGTTTGGGCCTCTGCCCACCAATGCCTGTCCCTCAGCCGACTGACCAAGGCCACACAAGGATGGTCCCGCCCTTTGCCCAGTCCGGGTCCTCCTCTGTCCAGACTCGGCCCGGTCCTGCGGCACCGACACACCCTTTGACTGTGCCCCCTCCCCTCCCCCCGTGGCCACGCCCCTAACCGGTGGCCACACCCCCTCCGGTCTGGTCCACACCCACCACCTGTCTCACCCAGGTGTCCAGGCAGTGGGGAGTGGGGTCGCGGCAGCGTGGGCGAAGTGCTGGTCAGGATGAGGCTTTTCCGGTTACTGGTGCGGCAGCTGCAGGGAAGGCGAGGCAAGGGGACCGGGCCAGAGCACAGCCCAGTGAGTTTGTGAACCCAACCATCCACCTTCCCATCTCAGATCCCCACCTGTGTCCTATCTGTGGGTGCTTGGAAGTGCCTCCAGAGGATGGCTCAGAGGACATGCTAGAGGCCCCAGCATGTATGACCATGTGGGCACAGTGTCAGTCATGGAATAGTAGACATGTTGCCCATGCGACACCATTGGAGATACCAAGTGCCTGTGTAAGACTCTTTGGGGCTTCACATGACATTCCCTGCATGTATCCACATGTGGTACCCAGGGTGTGGGCTCAGCACTGGGTTGGATTTATCTCATAAGATACAACCTGTACTTTTGTGCGTCTGTGTGACACGGTGTGCAATGCCACTTGTCCGTGGCTAGATGTGCCATCGTGGGCTGTACCCCATATGTGCATGATTTCTGCTACATGTGTCTACGCCTTTGTTCGGCATTCTAAGTCTATGTGATATCCTGTCCTTGTGTATGTGACATTCACCACGTGTAACGAGTGGTATCTATTGTGTCCGAGTTTCACACCTTGTGATACTGGGCATGTTTGAACCTGCCACCATGTGTGGTGTTCCCTAAATTAGTCTCCCATGTGATAACGTGCAACACTGTGTCTCTCTATCTCTGCAAGATTCCCTGTGTCACGTATTCTGCATCCGTGTAATACCGCATGTGACATGCTTAGGTGATATGATGTGCTGTGACATAGTTAGGTGCATGGATGTCTTTGCCATACATATGTATGTGTGCATCTTGGATGCCTGAATCCTGTGTGTGTGTGTGTGTGTGTGTGTGTGTGTATCACCACGCATGTGACATGTTACTGGGTGTACACAGCACTGTAGCTGTGGGCTTATTCGTCTGTGTGTGACACTGGTGGTCCCCCTGTGTGTCTGGGCATGACTCAGACCTATGGCCACTGCATGCGTGATGGCTCCAGGGTGTATCTGGGCCACTGGGGCTGTAGTGTGTGTATGTGTGTGACATCATGTCCTACGTGACGCTGTGTGTCACTATTTTCTTTATGAGGCTGTATTCTTGGTGGGGGGGTAGTTTGTGCTTTGATAAAGCCCCCCCTTCCCCTCTGCCCCTCAGGGTCCCAGCTTCTGAAGACAGAGCCCCCAGCCCCTCCATTGCCCTCACCCCCCACCACAGTGACGGAGCATATTAGCGAGGCCAGGAACACGCGGCATGGGGGGCGGGGGGAGGCCAGGCTGCGGCTATTGTTCCGAGGGTGCCAAGTCCCCCACCCTCCCCTTCTTCCCCTACCCCCACTGGGTTGCCGGAGCCCGCAGCGCCAGTAGACAAAGGCGCCTCAACCCCCCACCCGGCGCAGCCTCCTCCCCCCCCCACCCCGCGGCCGTCCTCTCCGGCATACAGTCCCCCCAGTCTCGGCCCACACAGTCCCCAATTCAGCCCCCTCCCCCGTAGGAAGGGGCAGCACGGGCACCTCTGGCGCTGCTGGACCGGGTGCAGCATCCCGGGCCCCGCCCTGCGGCAGCGGCCAGAGGGACGGCTTTGGTGGGGAGGGCCGGGTCAAGGTCTGAGGGATGGGGGTTCTACCTCTTGGTGCGGCGGAACATACTGCCGCCAGGGAAGGAGGGCATCGAGAAATTGGAAAGCGCGGTCCAGAGAGAGTCAGACATGACCCGGCGGCGGCGACATGGTGGCAGGTGCGGCAGTGGCGGCGGCAACGCGGGGAGCAAGCGCGCGGGGCGGAGGCTGGAGCCGCAGCGGGTAGGGGAGGGCGGGGGAAGGGAGGGCCGTGCCACTGCAGCCTGCCGGAAGGGGGCGCTCCTGTGCACCAGTGGGCCAGGCCCCGCCCGCGCGCGCCCCTGGCGCCCCCACCCTGGCTCGCGAAGGGACGGCCAGCCCTGTGCATCTTTCCCCCAGGCTCACCTGCTGCTTTTCCGGGGCAGAGGCAAATCCTTCTGGAAGGCAAAGGGGCAAAAGGATGAGGTCAGCGAGGACCAGCAGCTGCTGTCTGCAAGCCCTGTCACCCCCTGGAGGAGCAAATGTTGGGTGGGACGAGCCCCTCATCAGCAACCTCACCTGCACCCTTCCTTATGCCCGGAAAGCAGGGCTCTTTGGAGGAGAAGGTGCCAGAGTGATTTCTCTCCCGACCCCAGAGACAAGCCTGTACAAAGCCCCAAACAGGACTCCCGAGTTGACATCTCAATGTGCATTTGTGCAAAGGAAACAAGAGCCTATTTGAAAATATTTCTTGAACGCCTCTTGTATGCCAGGCCCTGTCCTAGGCACTGCGGACACAGCAGCGAATGAGAGAAAAATTCCTGCCTTTTTGGGACTGGCATTTAGAGAAGGGAAGCATACAATACACAAGACTAATATAGAAGTGAACAAGCTAAGTTTAAGTATTCATAAGTATCATGAATAAAACTAACATGATGTGAGGGGAAAATGCAAGGAGAAGGAAAAGATGGTCAGAGGGCTGCTCTAGGGAAATGACCTTTAAGACAGTTGTTGAAAAAATAAAAGCCAACCGTGGGAGGCTTTGTGGAAAGAGCATTCGAGATAAAGGGAACTGCAAAGGTCCCAAGGGAGACAGGAATGAACTTGGCATGCTCAAGCATGAAAGGTTGAATGAATGAATGACTCCACACCCCATCCCAAGGGTTCTATCCCACTCCCAGCCAGATTCAGTGTTGAAGGTGAGGTAGTTAGGATGGCTCAAAACTAAAACTGGAAATGGGAATTAGATGATGGCTAAGAGGTCTTTTTGATCTGGTGTGATGATGATAATTGCTAAATATTAACTTTTTTTTTTAAGATTCTACCCATTTGGGGGCTCCTGGGTGGCTCAGTGGCTCAGTGGGTTAAAGCCTCTGCCTTCGGCTCAGGTCATGATCCCAGGGTCCTGGGATCGAGCCCCACATCGGGCTCTCTGCTCGGCAGGGAGCCTGCTTCCTCCTCTCTCTCTGCCTACTTGTGATTTCTGTCTGTCAAATAAATAAATAAAATCTTAAAAAAAAAAAAGATTCTACCCATTTATTTGACAGAGATCACAAGTGGGGGGGGGGGGGGGGGGTGCAGGCTCTCTGCCGAGCAGAGAGCCTGATGCAGGGCTCAATCCCAGGACCCTGGGATCATGACCTGAACCGAAGACAGAGGCTCAACCCACTGAGCCACCCAGGCGCCCCGCTAAATATTAAAAGTATGTTTCCACACCAGAGGAAGGTTGTGTTCTGTTTGTCAAGCACTCAGGAAGCCACTACAGAGATCAGAAGTTATGGAATTCGGTGCCCTTTCCCAGGAGAGCAGTGGGGAAAGGGAGTGTTACCTTCCAGTCTGTTTTCTGTCCACAGGCCAAAGTGAATAAAGGAGGTTGGGTGGAGGAGCCACAGAGGGAAAGATTCTAGTGAGGGTTTCAAAAGCATTTTGGTGGGTACTCCAACATGGGGAAAATAAGGGACATTCTAGATCCTTTCTAGGATCTCCTGACAGCAGAAAGCCCTGGGCTCAAATCCCTGCTTTGCCTCTTATAACCTTGGCAAATGACCTCCCAACAGTCCATTTCTCCTAGAGGATTCTGTGAACTGATTCAGGTGCCTGGCACCTTAGCATGATGCCTGGTACACAGTAAGCACTCAATAAATATTAGGTCATAGGAACAGGAGTTATTGTGAATGGACATGCTCCATGAAAGAGGATGGGCCAAAGGGACCTCCCACTCCCATGTACAGAGGATACACATACGGTTGGAGTCAAAGAGAACGCTGTCCAGGTTGGGCAGCCCTGCCTTCCTGAGCCACGGATGACCAGAAATCCATTCCAGGTTTTCTCTCTGTTTTTGCAGGATCAGTTTGAATGAGCCTCGGCTAGCCGGCTGGGCGGGACGACTGCAATGGCCCAAGCGAAATCTAGACCTGGATTTTCCGGCCACGGAGCCCAGGATTCCAGATCCGGGTACACTCAGCCTTCGAGGGTAAGCCCCTGGGGTTCCTTTAAACACCTCCCGGAGAAGTCCTGGAACCTAGCTCCATTTGCTAGCGCCCCTAAACATCCTAGAGTCTAAGAAAAGGGCAAACTGGAGCTGTAGAGGATTTGGATCCTCAACGTCAGAGTAAAGAGACGCCACCTCCATCACGAGCTGCAGAGCCGCTCAGCCAAGCGGATTCTGCTTCTCCCTGGGATTGATGGACGGCGCTGTGGACAGGGCTTTCGAACTCAGGATGCTGTAAGTATATACGATCCCACCTGCACACAGTTGGGGGCCCTCGGGCGCTCCGCCGTTGTGAAACAGCTCCTAAAGGGTTGCATCAGTGTGTGAGGATGTATCCAAGGCAGTGAAGTGGTTAACCCTGCCAGAGGGGAAGAGGTAGGGGCAGGACTCCGGAGGGTAGCCTGGCCCAGAAGATGCCTCAGGAAGGAAGGGTGGGGGAGTGGGCGGATCCCGGGCTGGGGGCGGAGCCTTGAGGAAGAGATGGAAGGCCCGCGTGGCGCTGAGCCAATGGGAGTAGGCGCCGGCCCGGAGGGCGGGAACACACCCCCTTGCAGGCCCCGCCCCTTTCCGCCCTTTTCCAGGGGACCCGACCGCGCGGAACCAGACTGGCTGCTTCAGCACCTGCTCTGGCTTTGCCGCTTCTCCCTCCCTTTTGTCAGAACCTCTTCTCCCACTCCAGCGCTAAGATGAGGTGGGAATCCAGAGGAGACTTCGAGAGCCCAAGGCTCTTAGATGGAGCCATCTGGGTTCTGTCTGAAAGCAAATTAGTTTTTCCAACCCAGGTCTGGCTCCCGCATCATCCAGACTACCTGGGAAGTCCTTCCTATCATCTGACTCAGATTTTTCCTGCTGCAATGACCGGTCAGTTAACCTTGGTCTCCAACCTCAGGGATAGTGTGGGTTAGAGGAGTCCTGAAATGGACATGGCCCTGGGGGAGGGTTTGAATCTTCCCCTTTTTTCAAGCTCCAGGCTAGGTATGTAGCTTAGAGTCTGGGGCCACCTAGGCTTTATCTAAACTCTTCCAGATTATTTAGCGTGGGTCTGGGCTCCAAGAAGCCTCACAAGGACCAGACCCCAGGCAGGCCTTGGGGTGAAGCTTTGATCAGTTTCCTTGCTGGGGTCAGTTTAAGAGCAACATCGAACCTTCCTATTATCCCTTAGAAGCGCACGAGGAAGATAGTAGAGGAGAACCCTTTTCAGCCTGAGTCCCCACCCATCCTGAAGGTGGCAGTTCCTGAAGCCTGGATTTCCCCACACTCCACAATCCTCAGTGTCCCACTCTGTGCAGTGGACTCAGTCCCGCGCCTGCGCAGCCTAGAGACCAGTATCTTCTAAGGCTGCAAGGAGCTAAAAATCGCTCCCGCCCACCCACAAGCTGGGCTGGACTTGAGGATCTCGAGGCGGTGGGGCGGGGAGGGGGGGCGGATGGGTAGTGAAAGGAGGGGGAATGAAGAGTGAGGAGGGAGGCTGTCTAGGGTGTCTGTCCAATTAGGGCAGTAGGAAGAATCCTGGTGGCCGGGCAGATGCATGGAGGTCGCAGGGGTTCCCCACGCCTCAGAAAGGGGTTCCTAGGGTAGAAAGGGGAGACGCTGCAGCATAAACATGTTTACGGCCTCTGCAGCGCCGGTGGCCCCGAGGGGCGCGAGCCCTGGGGCAATAACTTTGCTCTGCGCCCCCTCACCCCTAGCCTGGCGTTGCGCCAGGGCGATGACTTCGGTCCCAGCCCCCTCCTCCTCCGGAGGACCAGGTGCCCCTCAGGGCTATCCTCGAGGGGGAGCGCTAGGCTGCACCCCTCCGTCAGCTCCCTGGATCCCCGGGCGGCGCCTGAGGGGCGGGGTCGCCAGCGCGGCGGGACGCGCGGCTACAGTGTTCCCCTCTGGTAGCATCCCGAAGCCGTGGGAGGGGGCGCCCCGGCTGGCCCGGGCGCAAGTTCTCTCGCCCCCTGCCGGGCCCCGCCTCAGGACGCCGACCCCTTCCCCACCACCCGGGACCCGGCCCGCCGCGTACCTGCAGCCTCCGGCGGCGGATCAGGCCCGAATCGTCCATGGCGGCGGCGGCTTCGGCCCCGGGGAGGGAGGAGGGAGGTGGCGGCGGCGGCGGCGGCGGGAGGAGGGAAGAGGGAGGGAGTGAGAAGCCGCGGGGACCGCGGCGGCGGCGGCGGCGGCGGCGGCGGGTGGGGGGGGCCTGGGGGGTGGTGGGGGCGGAGCAAAGTGGGGCGGACCCGGCGCCGTCACTGCGTCTGGGCGCCCGAGCCTGGCCTCGGCCAAGGCTGCCCGCGCTGCGGGGTGGGAGGGGGCAAGCGAGGGAGGAGCTTCCCTATGTCCCCAAGGGAGTCAAGCTACGGAGATACCCCTATAAGTAGAGCCACCCCAGGGGAGAGACATGCCCATGGGTAGACCTCCAACCCAAGAAACACCCAAGGGAGACATTCTCACTAAAATTATTCCTTATGCGGATACCCACCCCTCCCCTCAGCGACCCCCTCAGGGAGACTCATTCCCACGGGTTGATAGTCTCCACCCGAGGTCCTCTTCAATCAGAAACTCCCCTCTCGCCCTGAAAATCATTCCTAAGGCAGATGGTCTCTGAGAGGTAGCGCTTCTTCTCAAAGCCCCCTGCCGCCCCCAAGAAGAGACACTTCCTCAGAGAAAAATCCCCACGGGTGACATTTTCCTTGGAGAGCCTGGTAAAGATAGCCCCAAAGAAAGACCCACTAAAAACCATATTCTCTGTGGGAAATTGTTCCCACCCACGAGACCCTCACATCCTGAAGAGATACATTCTTACAGAGTGACATTTGCATTGAGGACACCCATCCTCAAGGGAGTTGTTCCCACAGACAAACATTTTGCCTGCATATACCGCCCCCCTTCCCAGTCAGAGCCTCCTCGGGGAACGCCCCTCTAACGACCCCCTCCCTCACCGTCAGGATTAAGTAGCCAGGTCAGGCTGGGCTGTATTTATAGGACCGATTAGTGGTAGTTTGGGAGGGGGGGCAGCTGACGCGATTTTCACACACACACACCCGCAGTGTTCCTATAGCTGAGACCAAGCCGACCATGCTTCCCAGAGTTAGTGTGGAAAGCATCAGTGACCTCCCCACTCTAGGCATTAGGGGACAGGGTGGGGAGGGGGCGACCGGAAAGCCCTGGAGGGCGCGGTCACTGGGCGGGAGCGACCCCTGCCGGTCAATGAGTGCGACGACAAGGTCTAGGTCCAGGTGTTCCCCAGACATTTGTTTCCTCATCTCTGCGCCTTTGCCTGAGTTATCTCAGTGTTTCTCTCTGTCTCTGTTTGTCCGCATGTTTGTTTGCCATCCCGCTAAGTCTATTCTTCGAACTTCTCTGTCAAAGTCCCAGACTCCGCTCTTGTCGCCCCTTCTAAAGCAAGCTGTCTCGGGAGCTCTCCGTGGTGCTGATCTCACACGCTCCTGTCCGCGGTGCTGAATTCCGAGGGCGGGTTTGGGGGCTGAGGTCAGGGGAGGGGAAGGGTTGGCAGGAGGCACAGCCCAAAGACTGGACATATATGACACACGAGCACCCTGTACTACCCAAAATGGACTAGGGGAAGGCTAGATCCATTAGGTCTTGGTTGCTGACGCCTATAGGACATCACTGTGTGGGTACCCCTGGAGGGGCCAGGAGACAGGACCTTCTGATTCGTTAATTTACTCAACAAGTGCTGAGCACCTACTGTGTACAAAGTAGTGTTTTGAGATCTGGGAGTTCCTCAGTGAAAGAGACAAAACAAAAACTCTGCATTAGCCTGAGAAGGGAAAGAGAATTGTGGTAGTGGTCATTGCTCACAAAAACACATATGCACACACTACAAGCACAGGTACACACACACACTGCAAACATACACACAAACACGAACATACCAACACATGCTCAGGAAACAGACTCACATACACATAGTCACACGCTGCAAATATGTACTCCTCAAAAATACACACACATACACATTCTCAGCAAACACAGACTCACACACAAACACACATACACGTTTCCAAATATGCACTTAGCAAACGCAGACACACTGAATCGTATGCAAACACAAAAACACAGAATACAGACAGATAATGAGCAAACACAGGCACACACAAACACATATACACATAAACTCATGCTCTGCAAAGACACACACATGCAAGCACCTACTGAGAAAACAGACATACACACACTCAGCAAATGCAGACACACACAAGTAACATGTACACTCAACAGACACAAGCACACACACATAATACAAAAACCAAGAGAAGCTCAGCTACACACAAACTCTCACCCAACACACAGACACAGTATCCTACCCACACAACACATGGACACACATATACACTCACATACACACTACAGGACTGCTCGTCTCGCCAGGGTCTCCCACTAGAATGTAAGCTCTTGGAAGGTGAATTTTTTAGAAGATTTTATTTGAGCACCTGGGTGGCTCCATTGGTTAAACAATTGCCTTCCGCTCAGGTCATGATCCCAAAGTCTTGGATTGAGTCCCGCATCAGGCTTCCAGCTCCACCGGGAGTCTGCTTCTCCTTCTGATCTTCTCCCCTCTCATGTTCTCTCTCTCAAGTAAATAAATAAAATCTTTTTTAAAAAATATTTTTAAGGGGTGCCTTGGTGGCTCAGTGGGTTAAAGCCTCTGCCTTCGGCTCAGGTCATAATCCCAAAGTCTTGGGATTGAGTCCCACATCAGGCTCCCAGCTCCACAGGGAGTCTGCTTCTCCTTCTGATCTTCTCCCCTCTCATGTTCTCTCTCACTGTCTCTCTCTCATATAAATAAATAAAATTTTTTTTAAATTAAGGGGCGCCTGGGTGACTCAGTGGGTTAAAGCCTCTGCCTTCAGCTCAGGTCATGATCCCAGTGTCCTGGGATCAAGCCCAGCGTCGGGCTCTCTGCTCAGCGGGGCTCCTGCTTCCCTTCCTCTCTCTGCCTGCCTCTCTGCCTACTTGTGATCTCCGTCTGTCAAATAAATAAAAACTTAAAAAAAAAGATTTTAAAAAAGATTTTATTTATTTATTTGTCAGAGAGAGAGTGAGTGCACACAAGTGGGGAGTAGCAGGCAGAGGAAGAAGCAGGCTCCCTGCTGAGCAAGGAGCCTTAGGCAGGAAGGACTTGATCCCAGAACCCTGGGATCATGATCTGAACCAAAAACAGATGCTTAACTGACTGAACCACCCAGGCATCCCAAGGTTGAGGTTTTCATTTCTTGATCACTACTGCATCCCCTGAACCTGACACACAATAGGTGCTCCATAAACATTTGTTGAATGAATAGATGAGTTGAGAGAACGTTTGCAAAAAACTCACATTCACAGAAACTGCAGAGGAACACACACACACACACACACACACACACACGCGCGTTTCAGATACAGACACACCCTCTCCACACAGGTCAACACCCCCTTGTTCACTAATGGTCACCATTCATGGTCAACAGCATTTATCCACTGACTCATCCACAATATTTTCACAGGATGGCCATCCTGACCCTACATACCCCCCCCTCACATTTATTATATCTTACCCAATTTGACACACTTGGCTTGGAACACATAAAGACTTCCTCACCCAGATTTTGAATACACACACACACACACACACATACAACCAGTCAACCAAGAGACACACATACTATACCCTCACACAACAAACATACACTCTCTCCACACACACAGACACACAAACACACTTTCATCCAACACACATACACATAGAGTTTAAGCCATCATCTCAACATAAAGGTCAATGCAAAGATATATACAAAGCAGTCCCAGGTCCCCTGGCCTTTGGTCAGTTGGAGCAGGGGGTGGGGCAATGGGAAACTCCTCCTCTGCATCAAACCACACCCCTTTGGCCGCCACTCTTTCCTGCACTTGACCCTGCCGTGTCTCAGCAGCACCCTAGACAACCGTCCAGTTAACAGGTGAGGGGTGGCCAGAGGGGACAGGGGAGGGGAGGGAGTTGTCTTGTCTCCACAGACCCTCAGCTTCCCCTACCGTACAGCTTTAGAACCCCAGTGGCAAAACTAGAGTCCTGCCACAGCCAAGCTTGGCTCCGAAGGACCAGCTCTGGTGGCAGCCCCTAAGCCGATTGTGGGCCTAGAGAAGGTGACCATGAGAGGGGCCAGCACGGATCAAGAGGGAGGGAGGAGACTGGGCAGAAGAGAGAGAGGAATTACTGGACAGAAGAGAGAGATTGAAAGAGCTGGGGAGTCCCTTTAGTTCTGAAGACAGAGGGGATCACCTAAGGGCCAACAGGGTGGGAGACCCTGCTGGGTGTGAGGGGGAGGGGCACCACGGTCCAGCTAGAGGAGGGGGCCCTTGGGCCTAAAGGGAGGGGACATGAGTCTGATGGGTGAGAAGGGACTCCTGGGTCAGAGGCAGGACTTGATGATCCCCTGGGATTTGAAGGTTCTTGATCATTGCCTCCCCATCAACTGCTCATTCTCTGCTCTCCCTGGCACTGTCTCCTGGGTCCACATCAGGAGGGTACAACCCTGAGCTCCCAGATAGAGTCAGCCAAACCTTACCCCATACCCCAGCTGATTCTTGTCTCAGGTGGACATGGCCTGCAGGGGCCACACTCGACCCAAGGGCCTGACCTGGGCCCTAGGACTGACCCTGGCTTGGATCCTGCTGGGAGCCTGTGGAGGAAGCCGCCCACTCCCAGCTATGTCCCGGAGACACCACAGGCTGGCAGCCGATCTTGGCACAAGCCAGCTGCACCTTGCAGGTGAGCACTCCAGACCCTGCCTAACCTCCAACACCTAAGAAATCCCATTTCACCATAGCAATACCAGAATCTCCTTATGAGAGGGGCTTGGGGTGACACGTGTGGGGGAAGATGGGGAGTCAGGGCTTGTGCTAAAGAATGGTAGTTAAAGGGGCACCTGGATGGCGCAGTCGGTTCGGTTAAGCTTCTGCCTTCAGCTCAGGTCATGATCCCAGGGTCCTGCTTCTCCCTCTCCCCCCGCCTGCCATTCCCGCTGCTTGTGCTCTCTGTGTGTGTGTCAAATAAATAAACAAAATCTTAAAAAAAAAAAAAAAAAAAGAATGGTAGTGGGGCACCTGTGTAGCTCAGTCATTAAGTGTCTGCCTTCGGCTCAGGTCACGATCCCAGCATCCTGGGATCTAGTCCCTCATCTGGCGCCCTCTCAGCGGGGAGCCTGTTTCTCCTTCTCCAGCTTCCTCCTGCTTGTGTTCCCTCTCTTGCTACCTCCCTCCGTCATAAATAAATAAAAATCTAAAAAAAAAAAAAAAAAAAAAAAAAAAAAAAGGGAAGGGCACCTGGGTGGCTCAGTGGGTTAAGCCTCTGCCTTCCGATCAGGTCATGATCCCAGGATCCTGGGATCGAGCCCCACATCAGGCTCTCTGCTCAGCAGGGAGCCTGCTTCCCCCTCTCTTTCTGCCTGCCTCTCTGCCTACTTGTGATCTCTGTCTGTCAAATAAATAAATAAAATCTTAAAAAAAAAGGGGGGGGAATATTCGTTAAAGTGCACAGATTCTGGAGTCAGACTTCCTGGATTCAAATCCCAAACCCAGGTCTGCCACTTCATAACTGGTTGATTCTGAGCAAGTCACTTACCTCTCTGGGCTTCTTGTAGACCCTTAAAAAGGGGGAAAAAAATAATAGACCTACCTCATTAGGGGTATTGTAAAGCGGTATATGTAAGTATATGAAAACATACCATTATCAGGGACATAATTAAGCTGATTATGATAAACTATTATTATTATTCGAAATTGCATTTGTGTCCCAAGAGAAGTGTCTTTATTTAAGTTTAATGTTTGGGCGGCACTGACATAACTGGGGTTATGTTCAGGGGACCCCCATGCCTTGCTTCCCCAATCCTGAGGATACAAGACCCTAACTCACAGGAGTCCCCTTCTCCATGCTCCTATTGTCCTATTGTCAGAGATGGACACACCAGAGGCATTGGACCCTGGGATGGCCCCAGAACGCTGTGGGGACCCGAGCCCCGGGTGAGTACGGTACTCGCCAGCCTTTCCTTGTGTTCGTTGCTCCAGTTAACCCTGCCAGGGACCACCGCCCTTGCGCATCCTGACCCAAATGATCCTCTCTTTCCCGATGTTCAGGTGCGAATCCTTTCTGGGACACCTCCAAGTTGCCCTCCACAGTCGCTTCCGCCTGCTGTTACTGGGGATACGCCAGGCGCAGCCGCTCTGTTCCGAGCTCTGCGATGTCTGGTATGGGAGGCGGGGCGCGAGGGGCGTGTCCTATGGTTTGGGCGGGACCAAAGGCCGGATGGGCAGTTTCCTCGGCCTAGTGTTTGAAGGGGTGTGGCCTGCCTCCAACAAGGCCAAGGTCTAAACTGGAGGCCTAGCGTTTAGAGGCCAGATGGAAAGGGGCGGGGCCTGTAAAGGACGTGGCATTTGAGGTTGGCTGTACCGAGGCGACACCTTCCATAGACCTGGGCTTTTAAGGGGCGGGGCCTCCTGATAGAAAAGAGATGCTAAGAAGGTGGGGAATGCAAGGGGCTGGCCGAAGTCTGTTGGGATGAGGTCAGCTGTGCCAGGGCCCTGGGTATGTGTGGAGAATATAGGGCAGGGTGATCTGGGGGCGGGATATACACGAAGCGAAGACTTGGAGGGCTGGAAACCCGCTAGGACGCGACTGCGGAGACTTTACCCACTTTCTCTCTACACACCATCCACAGGTTTGCCACATGTGAAAGCGATATTACCTGCGGCCCGACTTGGCTCCCAATCCTAGAAAAGAGGGGCTGTGAGCCTGGCTGCCCTACCTATGAGCAGGTGAGCTTGAGATAGAGGTGCAGGAGAGAGACCTCCACTTACTATGTTCTATCTTAACCCGCCTAGGCCCCAGGGTCCTGACTGATACTCCCAAGGCCCCTGCTCCCACCCTTCCCCCGTCCGCACCCCAATCTCCATAATGGGATAAGTCTGTAAGCTCTGGATTTGGCCTCCCCAAGGCGCCATCTCTGCTCTAGGCCCATCCACAATTACCCCTGGAAGACCCAGAAGCTCAGATCACCTTCCCTAAGGCCTCAGCCTTAATCTGGCCCTCCCCCACCCCAACCATGAGACCCAGTAAAAATAACTCGCCCTCCCAGGACTCGGTTCCTGTTATGGCCCCGCCCCCACACTCTCCGTAGGACCCAAAGTGAGTACTTGCCCACCCCTAGACGGCACCTCTACACCGGACCCTACTTGCAAAGTCCGGGATTTTCCTTTTCCAAGGCCGTGCCCCTCAGCCCTCCCTCCCCTCAGCCCGAAGGCCACGCCCCCAGAAGTACCTGGGCTCCGCCCACTCGGACCCTAAGTCCACCCCCTCCCCCAGACCTTCGCTGACGGGGCGGAACTTTGCCGCTCGGTTCTGGGCTACGCGATGCCGGTGGCAGCTCCTGGCGCCGGTCACTGCCTCAACATTTCCACCTCGGTACTGCCGGGTTCCAGACAGGAAGGGAAGGCCCGAGAAATCACCTTCCTGCGTGCCCGCCGCTCACGCACCTGGATCCTGGATGCCGCGGGCAGCGGGAGTGGCAGTGGAAGCGGCAGCGGCCCCTAGGGAGCGCTGGGCCTTGGTTGGGAGATGGGAGTCCCTTCCCCTGACCCGGCCCCTCAAGATACCCAAAGCTCCACCTCTCTCCCGCTCTGCCTTCTAGTTTCCAGAGCCCTGTCTCTCCTTCCTGGAGTCCCAGACACTCGCCCTTCTCCAGGTGACTAGACAAAGAATCCAACTCTAGCTCATCTTCCCCTCTCCTCCCTGAATAAAGTCTCCAACTAGAGCACTGTGATGTGGCTGCTTCTTGGGGAACTAGGTGGCAAAATAGCTTGCAGAAAGTGATCGGTGTCTAACTTCAGATCCTCAGGTCTCACAGTTAGCAAGTGATACACACCAGCATGTAAATGACAGCCTGTATTCTGAGCACTTTCACAACTCGGAATATCCAGGTGTCAGAAATGGAGAGGGGTCCAGAAGAGGGGCTGACGAGGGCAAGAGCTACGCTCCCCACTGTGTGCCATCAGGCACGTGAGGAAGCTCCTTGACTTGTGTAGACCTCAAGACAAACTTCATGGCCCTCCCTCTGATTAAGTCGACCCAGCAGTTGCTGGCATGATCTCCCCATCATTATTTCTTCCTCCCTTTTCTTCCAAATCCCAGTTCCTGATGTAAGACAAAGAACTTGACTCAGATTTCAAATTTGGGATGTAAGTGCTACTCCTGATCCTGCTCTTATCCAAAAGCCTTAGGACAGCCCATTTCCTCACCAGGAAAACAGGGGAAATGTGCCTTTTAGTTCTATTCAATCGAATAAGATTGATGGATGGCGCCTGTACCCAGACACAGCTGTGATAGACCAGGTCCATTCTCTGTCCTCAGGGAAGAGGGAAATCTGTAAGAGAAGAGCCTCACTGGGAGAATAGCAGATAGGCCTCTTTCAACTGCAAGAGACAAACTCAGTTCAATGCACATTTAGCCAACAGTGAGAAGTTTCAGGAATGGCTGTATCTAGGTCCTTAAATGATGTTAGGAATCTACTTGTATTTTTCTCTCTCTCCCTCTCTTTTTAAAAGATTGTATTTATTTATTTATTTGACAGACAGAGATCACAAATAGGCAGAGAGGAAGGAGCGGGGCAGGGGGAAGCAGGGTCCCCGCTGAGCAGAGAGCCCGATGTGGGGCTCGATCCCAGAACCCTGAGATCATGACCTGAGTCAAAGGCAGAGGCTTAAGCCACTGGGCCAACCAGGCACCCCTTTATCTTTCTCTTGACTATACTACCGGATAGGATCTCCTCGCAACAGCAAAGATGGGACCAGCAACAACATGATTCCGTGGTTAAAATAGGCCTATTTCTCTGTAAAGCCAGCAACATTTCCAGTGCTGGCACTCAGTGACCCTGCCTCATCGTGAGCCCATCACCAAACCAATCACTGTCCCCAAAGGAATGCTGTGCTCTCGATGGCCTGATGTGGGTCATGGGCTTGTGCCTGAAGGCCCAAGGTAGGGTCAGTTCCATCTGAACTGCATGGACTGAGGATGGTGGAGAGCTGCTCCCAAAGGAAAATCAGGTGCTGGGACCCAAAGGGAAAGGAGTGCTGGGGAGGGAATCAAGATATATGGGCCATAGAGACGTGGCTATGACCTGACTCTGGAGTAGGTCCACCTGGGTTCACATCTCTGTTCTACCACATACTCATGCCACAACTTTATCAATGTTTCCCAATCACTCTGTTTCTTTATCAAATGGGGAGAATTGTTCCTCTCCTAGGGTTGTTGGGATTAAATTAATTAAATTAAATTAAAATTAATTAAATGAGCGAATGCAAATTGTTCTGGTTATACATTGCTGTGTAGCAACTCCAAACTTAGTGGTAGAAAACAGCAATCATTATTCTTTCTGGGTTCTTTTTTTTTTTTAAGATTTTATTTATTTATTCGACAGACAGAGATCACAAGTAGGCAGAGAGGCAGGCAAAGACAGAGGGGGGAGCAGAGAGAGAGGCAGGCAGAGAGAGGGGGAGGCTTATCTATTTTCTTCCTTGAATGCTTATCCTTGTCACAATAATAGAGTATATAGCAGCAAGAGTGATAACAGATGATGTCTACATTTATTGAGTATTAATTATGTGCCAGGCACTTCCTAAATATTTTATGTGACCTCCCTCCCATGAGGAGGTGGAGTCTAGATGCTTCCCCTTAAATACAAGCCGGCTCTGGTGACACATCAGCAAACAGAGAGGGGAGACGATGCTGGTTTCCAAGGCTAGGGAGTCAGAGAGGAGACCACTTCAACCAGACTTGGAACCCTTGCTCTTGGAGCCCAGATGCCATACTGTGCGGAAGCCCAAGCCACAGGGACAGGCAATGTGTAGCAATTCTGGTCAGCAGCCCCAACTGAGGTTCAAGGCAAGACTCAGTGCCAACCACCGGATGTGTGAATGAAGACGCCTTTCAGGGGATTCCTATCCCCAGCCAGCATTTAGGTGAACCAGAACCATCATCAGAACTCAGAAAGAGGGGCGTCTGAGTGGCTCAGTGGGTTAAACCTCTGCCTTCGGTTCAGGTCATGATCTCAGGATACTGGGATTGAGCCCCGAATTGGGCTCTCTGCTCAGCAGGGAGTATACTTCTCCTTCTCCCTCTGATGCTCCCCCTGCTTGTGCATTCTCGTTCTTTGTCAAAATGAAATATTTTTTAAAAAAATCACATTTGCAAATTACATCTTTAGGTTGCTGACTAGCTTCTGCTTATGGCCAGCTGTGAAGAAAGGGGGAGAGTTTATCTTGTCCTGGCAAATTCCATCAGCAGTCAGAAGAGCCTATACATTCAAGATAAACTGTAATTATAACAATTTGGGAGGGGAAAAAAATGGAAATCCAAAACTGAGGGCCAAATGTATGAAAGCATATATTTACAAATTTACAGCATGGAAAAGGACAGGGCAGAATTATTAATGGACTCTGGATGGGTAAACATTTTGCAACTGCTGTGATAACCAGAGGCTGTGGCTTGAATAGAGGGATCCCCTCAGGTGGGGAAATGGGGAGGCCACAGTTCCCCCCACCAAGGTCTGCCTTCACTATCGCTGCCCTCAGGCAAGCCCTCTTCCCCCTCCTGTTCTCTTCCACCCCTCACCCTTCAGATCTCTGCCATTCAGCTCCTCGGGCTCTGGAAATCAAGGATGCCATCCCCACCATGCACTCCTGAGGTCCTCTGGACCTCGGTGCATACTCAGAGACCTTTTGTAGCTGGGTCAGTGCTGGCTTCCTGGTGACCAGCACGGGACCTATATGGAGTGGAGAGGTAACCAGTTATGGGGCTGAATTGTATCCCACTCCCCAAATTCATGTTGAAGTCCTAACCTCAGTACCTCAGAATGTGATTATATTTGGATAGAGTCTTTAAAGAGGTAATTAAAGTAAACTAACGTCATACCGATTGGCCATAATCCAATTACTGGAGTCCTTAAAAGAAGAGATTAGGGGCACCGTAGGAGATTCAGTCGGTTAAGCCTCTGCCTTCAGCTCAGGTCATGATCTCAGGGTCCTGGGATCGAGCCCCCCATGTTGGGCTCCAGCCCTGTGTTGAGCTCCCTGCTCAGCGGGGAACCTGCTTCTCCCTCTCCCTGTGCCCCTCCCCACCACTCATGCTCTCTCTCTCAAATAAAGAAGGAGGAGGGGAAAGAGAAGTGGACATAGACATGCACAAAGGGAAGATCTTGTGAAACACAGGGAGAAGATGGCCATCTACAAACCAAGGGAAGAGGCCTCAGAAGCAATCAACCCTGAGACGCCTCGGTTAAGTCTCTGCCTTCAGCTCAGGTCATGATCCTGGGGTCCTGGGATCAAGCTCCGTATTGGGCTCCTTGCTCAGCTGGGAGTCTGCTTCTCCCCCTCCCTCCTGTTCGTGCTCTCCTTGCTACGTCTCAAATAAATAAATCTTTTTTTTTAAAGTATTTTATTTATTTATTTGACACAGAGAGAGAGATCACAAGTAGGCAGAGAGGCAGGCAGAGAGAGAGGGGGAAGCAGGCTCCTCAGGGAGGAGAGCAGAGAGCCCGATGTGGGGCTCAATCCCAGGACCCTGAGACCATGACCTGAGCTGAAGGCAGAGGCTTAACCCACTGAGCCACCCAGGTGCCCGCCCTTTTTTTAAAGATTTTATCTATTTATTTATCAGACAGAGATCACAAGTAGGCAGAGAGGCAGGCAGAGAGAGAGGGGGAATCAGGCTCCCCGCTGAGCGGAGAGCCCGATGCGGGGCTCGATCCCAGGACTCCGGGATCAGGACCTGAGCCAAAGGCAGAGGCTTTAACCCACTGAGCCACCCAGGTGCCCCCCCCCCTTTTTAAAAGATTTTATTTGAGAGAGAGAGCACAAGCAGGGTAAACAGCAGAGAGAGGAGAAGCAGACTCCCTGCTGAGCCAGAAGCCCAACACAGGGCTTGATCCCAGAACTCTGGGATCATGGCCTGAGCCGAAGGCAGATGCCTAACTGACTAAGTCACACAGGCGCCCTAGGTGAATTTAAAAAATAGTGTCCTTGGGGTGCCTGGGTGGCTCAGTGGGTTAAAGCCTCCGCCTTTGGCTCAGGTCATGATCTAAGGGTCCTGGGATCGAGCCCCGCATCAGGCTCTCTGCTCAGCAGGGAGTCTGCTTCCCCCTCTCTCTCTGCCTGCATGTGATTTCGCTCTGTCAAATAAATAAAATATTTTAAAAAATAAAATAAAATAAAAAATAGTGTCCTTGAGGGGTGCCTGGGTGGCTCAAGCATCCAACTCTTGATTTTGGCTCAGGTCATGGGCTTGGGGTCATGGGATCGAGCCCCACATCAGGTACAGTGCTCAGTGCAGTCTGCTTGGGATTCTTTCTCTCATTCTCCCTCTGCCCCCTCCCTCCTCACACATACTCTTTAATAAAAATAAAAAAAATAAACATCTTTAAAAAAAATGGTGTTCTGGGACACCTGGGTGGCTCAGTTGGTTGGACGACTGCTTTCAGCTCAGGTCATGATCTCGGAGTCCCGGGATCGAGTCCCGCATCGGGCTCCCGGCTCCACGGGGAGTCTGTTTCTCCCTCTGACCTTCTCCTCGCTCATGCTCTCTCTCACTGCCTCTCTTTCAAATAAATAAATAAAATCTTTAAAAAAAAAAAAAAATGGTGTTCCTGATGTTGTAGAGCCCCCTGACTTACCAGCTTCTCATGGAGTGAGATAAACCTGTCTTGCTACTGGCAAGGCTGTGTGTGAAATAAGTGCTTACTTACATTGCCAACGG